TAAATTTTAGGTTGGTCATTAAATTAGTAGTTTAACCCAATAGGTTAAGAGCATAGGTTTTGAAAACTGGCATTAAACGATTAATAAAACTAAAGACAAAACAAAATTCTAGTGAAGTAGTTGTAGTTGAGAAAATTTAAATATCTGATATTCTCCTGAAGACGAGTGAAGCAACTCAATCGAAACGTCGAGACTTTCTCTACTGCAACAGTTCTTTTCAGAACTACCAACGTGGTGTACGGCAAGCAGCAAAATGTCAGATTATAGAGCTTAGTCAGCTGTTATCTTAAGTACTGCGAGGCTGTGAGCATGGAAGAATCCTCCATGCTGTGAGCGAGTTACAGGGTTTGTTTGTTTTTTTGTTTTTTTTACATCTCATCTTTTGAGCGATTTAAAAGCCAACAATATTATTAGCTTGAACATTAATTTCATGAATGACACTTCCCCACCCCTTCAGAAGAGAAGAGCTGATGACTATTTACACTTTTTTTTAACCAGCTAAAAAGCACTCTACAGGGGCGGATCCAGAGACGTCCGAAAAGGGGAGAGGGGAAAGTGGGGCCGATCGAGATAATAATTTTTTTCTAGGCGCCCGAAAATAACCTCTTATTCTTTTTCCTTATTTTTTCCCTTTTTCTTACTTTCCAAAGAGGGGGAGGGGGCGCTCCTCTAAATCCACCCCTACTGTGGGAGGACCGGACGTCTTTCCCATCCGATCATGTGGATCCGCCCTGTCGACCAAATGCTGCAAGTATTGCCATAACAGAATATTCTAAAGCATAATATTATATACTGCATCGTCTTTAACTGTAATTTTACAAAGACCTTTGCAAATCAAATTCAAATTAGGCCTACCTTTTAAATTAAGAACATGATTTTGTTTATAAGGCGGGTAAGATACTACCGTGCCTACTTTTAAAGAAATAGTAACTAGTGCATTATACAACACATGCTAACAATACATTCTAAAATGTTGTGATTTATGTAGTCTGTAGACATTCTTTATTCGTCACATATTGACTTATTTTAATGATTAACAAAGTCAGTTGATAATGTATTTTATTACATTATATTTAGTGAACATATACGCGTTTGTATCAGCCGCACACACTGAAATGGTACGTTCCATTTACCTCTACCACATATGAATACTCCGCTGCTCCTTTTACCGTACTGTACGAATGCAATTTGAATAATGAATTATCACATGTGTTGCTTTTGTAGTGTGACAAGTCCCCGTCCAATATTTTGCAGATTCCTACAATTGTGTTTTTTTTTTATTTAATGATATTCTATTGGACATAAATAGAAACACAAAATATGCCAGTAATAATAAGACATGATGATGCTACGATATATTTCTTCGAGAGCTTTGCACGCGTCTGGACGACAAATCGGCACAAACATTAAGGACTTACTTAACTTATAATATAGATGATGATGATGATGATGATGATTATTATTATTATTATTATTATTATTATTATTATTATTATGATTATGATTATGATGATGATGATGATAATGATGATGATGATTATTATTATTATGATTATGATTATGATTATGATTATGATGATGATAATGATGATGATGAACGATGATGATGATGATGATGATGAACGATGATGATGATGATGATTATTATTATCATTGTTTATTGATATAATGATTATTATTGTGATAATGATTTTTTTTTTAAATATTATTGTAGTGGCAGTGGATCTCAGTGAATTAAACCCTGTCAAGACTATCAAATTTCATTCGACAAAAACAAGTGACATGTGACATCACATAATGACCATATATTGGCACATCATGACTATAGACATGGACATAGACTAGATCACTTTATTCGTCATGAGTTTAAAATAGAAATCTCATGAAAGTTATTTTCCTTGGCAGGACAATACAACAAGAATGAATTTAACACTTGACCACAAGAAAAAATACATCAAGTATATACAATAACAACTAAAAGATGAAGACAAAACTCTACAACAAGCAAAAATCCTAACCTAAAATTGCCCAATAAAATTTTATGTATTTTTCTAAACATTATTATTATTATTTTATTATTAATTAAAAAGTATTTATACTAAAACGCTCTCTTAAAATTATGGTTAAAGATGTGAATGGCATATATATGGGCAAGCAACAGTTTTATGTTAAAGACAATTTGATTGTGTTGACAGAGTTTTATAGTAAAATTTGCTTAAGCTGTCCCCGACCAATTGTAAATGTGCATTGGTCTCTGCCAAATATCTGCACTTCTAGTAAATAACAACGCAGGATCAGTCTGGTGAAGAAGTAGTTAATGAAACAGATGCACAGAACAGTTCTGATGTATTTTATTATCTTGCGATTACTATCATAGTTTCCTAGGTAGAATAATCAAATCTCACATACCCGTGAGCGCGTGGACATGCAAATAAGATTTTGTTTATCTGTCTACTGTCATATTGTCATAATTAAATTTTATTAACGATATAATCGTATTCTGACTTTAAGATGGGTAGTGTATTATTGCTGATCTCCCTACCAGGTTATTTTCTAATTAACACATCTACAACAAATACTGGCTTGGGACCGAACGACCTCAACCAACAAGCACTGATAGCCAATAAGAGAGAATCGTATAGGCATGTATAAATACTGCTTATCAATATAATAATATTATGTATTTAAACTATGAACACACCATACATAGCGGCCTGCACAATATTAATTGGTCATTTAATAGCGACAGGACACCAAATATGCTTGTCGATCAAAGACACGTTTAGCTGAATAATATGATTGTAATCACTACGTATTGAACGTATCGATTGAAGCTAGAATTGTTAAAAAGAATAGCAGTTTCTTATCAAAGTAAGTAATGTTCTGTTACATATTTATATCTAGTAGTTCTATTGGATTCTTGCTGCTAATGGATCATAATAGTTTCCAAAACATAGGCCTGATTTAAACTCAATTCAAAACCGCTTTGCTTCATTATTTTTTAAGGTAGAACTATACAATGTAAACACAATTGCCTTAATTCTGAATCCTGTACTGTAGTATATGCAGATGGAATAACCGAATTCGGAGTAAATTTAGATCCGAGTGGAGGTTAGGTAATAATTCTCAATAAGCCTATTTGTTGGTGCGTACGTCGGGAAAAGCACTAGCTTGACGCATTAACTGGAATCAGGGATCGATGCAAGGTATTCAAGAGTCTTTGTTGTTTGATTGATCTCCAAATTATAACATTAATTGTTTCATTAAGACTTGCAATTTTTTTTTTATCATACTTGTATTTAATGATAACATCGATATTTCAACAACTCTGCAAATGTTAGATATAACAAGACAAAGCTTAACTTCTGAGTATATGAATAAATAGGCACTAAATAGATACCATAATTAAGATTGATATTATGACTATTTCGGCAGCAAACCTTGGTAGACCGAACTGGAATGCCATTCATGGTAAAAAAGCAGAATATGCTTTCGTAGCAATTAATACAGATGTATGCCTTTGAAAGTTTTAGTATAACCCATATAGGCCTATACATACAAAAATCTAATTATTGTATACAATTCTTTGGTAGAGTAAATTAAATTCTAATAATATGTAAGGTATAGTTCGGTAATGTATATAGCTTTATTAAGGCGGTTTATGTAGTATCGCGCAAGACAAGACATTTCTTTTAATGTTATCTAATAATTATCCCGATATTATTATAAATGATTCATATACGATGTTTATTTTTGGTGAAATAGGTTAAAAATGATGCATTAAAGTTATTTCCAGTTGGATCCTCCCGAAAGTAAATCCTCTGATATTCTTATATGTGTATATATATGTATGTATATATATGTATATATATGTATATATATATATATGTATATATATATGTATATATATATGTATATATATATGTATTTATGTATATATGTATATATATGTATATATATATATATGTATATATATATATGTATTTATGTATATATGTATATATATGTATATATGTATATATATATGTATATATGTATGTATATGTATGTGTATATGTGTATATGTATGTGTATATGTGTATATGTATGTGTATATATACACATACATACATATATATATATACATATACATACATATACACACATATATGTGTGTATATGAATGTGTATATGAAAACCCATGAAACAGCAAACGGCCATATAATGCAAAACAATTTAAAATTAAAATTAAAACGGAACAGTAGAGAAAATCCGATCAGAATGACAAAATAAACTAAGCATCCACTGGAAGGAATCCCAATATCTGCAGACGGATCCGTTTCGGCCTTCCAGGCCTCATCAGTGCAGCTAGGGTATAGACCCAAACAAAACGTTTGACCAGCTTAGGTAGGGCCCGAACTAGTCCCACGACCACTAATGATTACAGAGCCAAACCAAGGCAATATATATACACAGCCCAGGTGTGAATGCAAATAATGAAATACAAGCTATGCGGCTCGGTACCAGTAGATACAGAGAATGTTTTGTCATTCTTAACGCGTCCTACAAAATTCTTACGAGACAGCACTAGTCCGTGAATTTGTGAACAAGATGGGAGATCTAACGATGCAATCTCTACCGTGCATCAATGACGGCGCTGGATCTCAATAGAGATTCTTAAATAATATAAGTTTTAAAGGCAAATGGGGAAAACCCATGAAACAGCAAACGGCCATATAATGCAAAACAATTTAAAATTAAAATTATATATACAGGTCTATATATGTATATATATACACATTTAAAATATAAAATATAAATTTGAGATCAACAAATTTTATTTATTTATTTATTTAATTTTTTATTTATTAGGTATAAAAAGCTCATTTCAAACGCAGAGGACAATCCTGTGAGTTTACATACAGTAATAATAACAAGCACGAAAAAACATTACCTAGGCCTACACAAAAGAAATTTCAAAAATCTAATTATTGTTTACAATTCTTTGGTAGAATAAATTAAATTCTAATAATATGTAAGGTATAGTTCGGTAATGTATATAGCTTTATTAAGGCGGTTTATGTAGTATCGCGCAAGACAAGACATTTCTTTTAATGTTATCTAATAATTATCCCGATATTATTAGAAATGATTCATATACGATGTTGATTTTTGGTAAAATAGGTTATAAATAATGCATTAAATTTATTTCCAGTTGGATCCTCCCGAAAGTAAAATTTCCTTTTCCCCAAACGATAATATTTTATACGTGCTTCAAAACGCAATGTATAGTCCCGTATGCAGTATCACACGGGACTTAATACCAACGACTTAAAAGTGTGCTAGTGTAAACTTGCATTTTAGCCCTCCAGTCAAACCACAAGGAGGTCAGCAACGGAATTGAACCCGGCACTAATGGCCTGAAAGGATCTGCACGGTTTAGAGCACAAACACACTATTGAGAGATGCTTTATTATTCTTCATTGATCAACAGAAAAAAATGGAAATTTATTTAGTATACTGTTTCATTCCGTTTTATTACAGTACATTGATCATCACACAATTGTTAAGTCCCGTCACAAAATGAACACTAAGATAGTTGGAATATTTGAGATTTAAATAATAATTGAGCAGACAACATTATACATTTTAGGTTGGTCATTAAATTAGTAGTTTAACCCAATAGGTTAAGAGCATAGTTTTTGAAAACTGGCATTAAACAATTAATAAAACTAAAGACAAAACACAATTCTAGTGAAGTAGAATTTATGTTTGAAAATAGACCCAAAATGATAACGGACCTTTCCGGAGTGACAAATCAAAAGAGGGTCAGGAATACGAGCATGTCCTACAAATGCAAGTCATGTTGTCCTATGATTTACACCTAAGCAACAATATCCAAGGGGCGGGCTTACCGCCGAAAGGATTAAATTTTAAAAACATCGCATTCAATTTTCAATATTATATGTATATTTTTGAATTTCCAACGGTAAACCAAACAACTATGATTTCAAGAGCGATGCATCTTGTTGCGTGAGAAGAAAGACTTCAGAATGAATTTGTAGTGTTACCGGTATTGTTTATATTATTTTGTATTCTGCTGCATGAGCACCCATGCGTCATATTTACCCAAATATTTTGCGTTCCTTTTCATGAATGATCATGTTCTCTGATTTTGTTTAAATGTAAGAGACTACTGTTGTAGAGTGCGCTCTGGAAAGTAAAACAGACGATGGCAGCTGACGATAAAATAAGTTTAGAAAGCGAGTTTGCAACAAGTACAACACTCCATGGGCTGCAATACATTGCCACAAGTAAACGGTTCATCTTTAAACTACTCTGGGTATTGATTTTCATGGCTGGATTGAGTTTATGTG